GTACCAAGCCATGTGGCTAAACATAGACAAGAATTATGGGTTAATATAATACAATTTTAAGAGCTAGTAAAGAATAAGTCTAAGCTAATAGGCCAAGCCGTTTATAATTAAGCCTCTGTATGTTTCTTTGGAACTGAACAGCTACAGAGCCAGGCAGGAGAGAAACTACTGTCTATAATTTACTCCCGGTTGCAAATTGTTAGGTTCTTTGCTAATTTCTTCATGGCTGCCTGCATCTCCTGGTTTCTGAGGGTGTAGATCATGGGGTTGAGCATGGGGGTCAAGACTGTGTAGCTGATGGACACAGCCTTGTCCAAGGGAAAGGGAGTGAACGGCCGAGAATAGATATAGATGCAGGGGATGAAGATCATAGACACCACGATGATGTGCGTGGTGCACGTGGAAGCCGCCTTCCTCCTTGCCTGCCCTGAGTGAGACCTCAGCATCACCAGGATGACAGTGTAAGAGATGAGAAGGAGGAGGAACCAGATGAGGACCAGCATCCCACTGTTGGAGATCATGAGGAACTCCAGCAGGGAGGTGTCTGTGCAGGCGAGTCTCAGCACTTGGGGGACATCACAGAAGAAGTTATCCAGGACATTGGGGCCACAGAAAGGCAGTGGGAGCATCAGAGACAGCTGGACAATGGAATGGGCAAAGCCACCTATCCAGGCAGCCACCACCAGCCCCACGCACAGCCTGGTGTTCATGATGGAGACATAGTGGAGGGGCCGGGAGATGGCTATGTAACGATCATAGGCCATCACGGAGAGGAAGAAGACAGTCCCCCCACCCAAAAAGTGGAAGAAGAAGATCTGGACCATGCAGCCCTGGTAGGAGATGGTCTTGGTCTCATGAAAGAAGTCCACCAGCATCTTTGGGCAGGTGACTGAGGAGAAGCAGAGGTCTATGACAGCCAGATTGCGGAGCAGGAAGTACATAGGTGTGTGGAGCCTGGCATCCGAGGTCACCGTGACTATGATAAGGAGGTTTCCCATCACAGTCGTGCTGTAGACAAACAAGAACACCAAAAACAGGAAGAACTGGAGCTCGGGACTCTGTGAGAACCCTGTCAAGATGAACTCTGACACCCATGTGAGGTTGGTCTGGTCCATAGTGTCTTCTCCATGCGCTTAGAAGAAATGGATGATGATATGTCTCCCTGCCCTTTTCAGTATCAGAATTGTTCGGGTCCCTAGGATGGCACCTCATGTGAAGACCACGACATCACTTGCCAGCTCGGCTCTGTGGAGTTGGTGAGGAGCTGCTGCAGTGCACATTCATGAGATAGGGATTTTGTTTACCTGTCTGTCTGTTCAGGACAGGGGGTCACTATGTAGCCCAAGCAGGCCTCAGACTCCTGAATCCTCCATGAGATCTCTTAAAGCCATCCGCAAGATCCTGGGACCTGCCTTTCCATGCTTGACAGAGTGACAGGAAGACATTCAGAATGAGACACTCTGGAGCAAATTATGGGTCTTTATTTCCCTTAAGATCTGATCAAGAATAACAGGCTTACTTTGTTAAGATCTCAGTCTGTCCATGCATACAAAGAAAAGGGCTTTCCTAGCTAGGCGTGGTGGTGCAAGCCTATAGTCATAGCATTCAAGAGGTGGAGGCAGGAGGACCAGGAGTTCTTGATCAACCTTGTCTACACAGGTATAAGAGACCAGCCTGAGCTACCTGTCCTCCAATCTTTAAGAGAGGGTGGGGCTTTCTTTACAGGCTTTTCTGTGGGACTGGAGAGGATGCCACCTTTGAAACCCTTGTGCTTGCACTGGTGGGCAATGCTCTCCAGCCCGGGTTTCCCAGGCAGCCCTTCTCCTCCCTCGACTCAGGTTTACATTTTTGCAAAGCTTCTTTCACGGTTGATTGTTTTTCCCCCAAGTTTCAATCACAAGGGTCTGAATTTCACAATTAATCTGCTGCCAGCAGTATGCAGCCTGGGTATAGGCAATACTTAATGAGATTCTGCTGACAGTTGCAGGGTAGGTGAGAGTTACAAAGATGCACAGTTTCATGCCAGGACCGCTAGACACAGCAGGAGACCTGGAGTCCTGTTCCTTCCCATTCCCTTACCAGGTAAGGCTCCACGGGACACCGTGCAGGCAAAGGGAGCCAGGGATGGGCAATCCCTGAGAGGGAGGAGGATGACACTCAGAGCTCTTCCGGGAGGAGCTTGATTTTATCACCTGCCGCAAATCTAAGGAGAAAGACTTGGAGCTGGTAAAGCCAAAGAAAATTCCAAGGAAAAGAATGGAAAATAAAAGAGGTTAAGAGGGAAAAGGAAACGCCGGGTTAGGGAAACACATGACGTAGAAATGGAAAGCCCAATGGATAGAAGACTGACAGGGTGAGGGCAAGGGGTCTCCCCACCGTCCTATCCTGTCTCTGTCTCCCCCATGCTTCCCCCTCTAGCCTGCTGCAATCTATGAGCTGCTGGATCCCATCATGTCTCTTCCCATTCTCCACGTCTGTGTGCTCTCCGCTCCTGTCTCCGTTCACACAGCAGCCTGGGAGGCCGTTCTGAAAGAGGATGCGGCCATGCTCCTTCCTTGTCATATACTGAATGGCCACCTCGTGCCCACAGCTTAAAGCTCCGACTCTGAGAAGCTGCACAAAATCCTGTACACAGAAACCGCAGAGAATAAAAACCCTGCACACTGCGTGCAACTCCCCCAGCATTCCACGTGAGGCTGGAAAGGTCACCTCCATATCCCACACCTCTGTAATCAGTGTCCCTGTTACCCAAGAACCAACAGCTATCTGAGGAATTCACAGTTTCTACATACACCATCCACTCAACTAAACCTGAATCTTCGGTAAGAGCTCCTGCTTCCTTAAATAACTTTTGTTAGGAATCCAACCTAGAAACCCAGACACACCTCTCTCTGGCTCCTTTTCCTGCATCTCCCACAAGAACTAATTCTCCACCTTCCTGGGCTCCAACCATACTTCATAAGCATCTCTGGGTCAGCGCTGAACACTTTTCCTGTGACCTCCTTAACCGATGGCAAATCCAGTGACAGCATCCATGACAGCAACTCTGATTTAGAAGATGCTCCAACAACATCTTCCAGTTTCATGGAATGGTTTTAGGCGACCTTGCTTTGTAGACTGTGGAGACATGAGCTGTGGTTTTGCCCATTCTTTCTGTCTTTTGCTCTCAGCATCCTCCCTCCCAACAGCAGGGTCGATTCTAAGCTCAGCTGCTCCCCGTGTAGCCTGGAACACCTGTTTTTATCTTCACAGCCGCCATGCCTGCAGTACCTCCCGTCTCCCCCACAGTTCACACTCACTTCTAGGCAAGCCTGTGCTGCTACTCACTTATTCTTACCTTCTGCTGAACATTTGCAAGGCCCTTCTAACAGCTGCCAGTGTACGGGAAAGCAAACCCTTTCCTCTCACCGTGCTTCAGTCCAGCACGGGACTGCATGGCTTACATCTTCTTGGAGGTCCTTTGCATGGCGTCAGCTTCCTATTCCTTGGCCATCACTCATGTGGGCTATGTGTGTGGGGTCCTAGAGGAAGAGGGAATGTCCTCAGGGTAAACCTATTGGACAGGGCTCAGGAGGCTGAGCTGGGCTCATTACTACTGGGACCTGGGCAACAATGGGACTTGTTAAAAAGTTTCTGTATGTCTCAAAACCCAGTTCTTTTTTGTTTTTCAGGAGTCTCCCTTGAGGACCCAAAGCACCAAGAAAAGCAGCAATTGTGCTTTAGGGTTTGCCATTCATGATCTTAAAAGACAAGATCTGCCACAGGGGCTGGTGAGATGGCTCAGCGGCTAAGGGCACTTAGTGTCTTGCAGAGGATCCAGGTTCAATTCCCAGCACCCACGTTCTGGTGAACTAGCATCTGTAACTCCAGCTCCAGGAGCTCTGAAGCCCTCTTATAGCCTGAAGCTCTCTTTTCTGCCCTCTCTGGGCACCAGGCTGCATGTGGGGCACATTTCCACATGCAGGCAAAAATTTGTGCATATGCATTTAAAAGTAAAATACCTTCTAATATCTAATGAAAATGGATAAATGTGTGAGGAAAAAAAACAGGGAGGAAAAAACAGAGATGGGACAGACTCAGAACTGCCATCATGGTGCACAGAGAAACCAGGAGGAGCCCGTGACTTCCATGTCTTGGTGGGGATGGCACCAGAGGGAAGCAGGGGAAGCTCTTGCATTGTGGTCTAAACTTAGCATCACCTTATGCTGAGACTTTTGCAAAATGTTGTATACGCCACAGTGAATAAATGTACAGAAATAAAGTTATGATAAAACCAGGTACCAGAAGGTTAGAGAAAAAAAAAGAGAGAAACACCTGTCCTTGTCAGACGCAACTGAAGGCACCAGGAGATTTTCTGGGGAATGTTGCATGTTCTCGGGTCCTCTCAAAGCTCTCATCCCAACTGGGAGGTCACATCTGTGCCTCTCAACTTGGAGGAACTAAGTTCTATTGTTCAGTTGCTTTTACTTTGACCAAGTAGCCAGATCTTTAGCTTTCTTATCTGTAACGTTTTAATAAAAAGTATGAAAGAATCCAATAGTGCCTGACACAAGAGTAGCTCATCAAGATATATTACTGTAATCTGATTTGTTGGTATGTGTGTGTGTCAGCACGCGTGTGTGCGCGCACGCAAGAATGTGTGCCCATGCGGAGGCCAGAGAGCGAGCTCAGGAATTGTTCCTCAGATACTGTCTACAAGAGTTTTTTTTACACAGTGTATCTCATCGGTCTTGAAATTATCAAAGTTGATTATCCAGGGATCCCCAGCACCCATGTCCCCTTCTCCAGCTCTCCAGTTCTGGGGTTACAGGCAGGCACAGCTACACCTGGGATTTTGCATGAGAGTTCTGTGGATCAAATTAAGGTCTTTGTGTTCTCAAGATAAACACTTCACAGCTGGGCTTTCTCCCTAGTCCTGGTCATTCTGTATAAGGACTTCCATCTGCTTTTCTCCCTGTGTAACTCAGTCCGGGGAAAGTTGGTGTTGAGACCCAGTTTATTTAAATTTCATCCCCTTTACTAAGCACGAAGTGTTTTGCTAGTCTCTTCATGGCTGCCTGCATCTCCTGGTTTCTGAGGGTGTAGATCATGGGGTTGAGCATGGGGGTCAAGACTGTGTAGCTGATGGACACAGCCTTGTCCAAGGGAAAGGGAGTGAACGGCCGAGAATAGATATAGATGCAGGGGATGAAGATCATAGACACCACGATGATGTGCGTGGTGCACGTGGAAGCCGCCTTCCTCCTTGCCTGCCCTGAGTGAGACCTCAGCATCACCAGGATGACAGTGTAAGAGATGAGAAGGAGGAGGAACCAGATGAGGACCAGCATCCCACTGTTGGAGATCATGAGGAACTCCAGCAGGGAGGTGTCTGTGCAGGCAAGTCTCAGCACTTGGGGTACATCACAGTAAAAGTTATCCAGGACACTGGGGCCACAGAAGGGCAGTGGGAGCATCAGAGACAGCTGGACAATGGAATGGGCAAAGCCGCCTATCCAGGCAGCCACCACCAGCCCCACGCACAGCCTGGTGTTCATGATGGAGACATAGTGGAGGGGCCGGGAGATGGCTATGTAACGGTCATAGGCCATCACGGAGAGGAAGAAGACAGTCCCACCGCCCAGGAGGTGGAAGAAGAAGATCTGGACCATGCAGCCCTGGTAGGAGATGGTCTTGGTCTCATGAAAGAAGTCCACCAGCATCTTGGGGGAGGTGACTGTGGAATAGCTGAGGTCTATGACAGCCAGGTTTCGGAGTAGAAAATACATAGGCATGTCCAGCCGGGGATCAAAGGTCACCGTGACCATGATAAGGAGGTTTCCTACCACAGTGGTGACGTAGACAAACAGGAACACCACGAACAGGAGTTTTTGGAGTTCTTGAGTCTGTGAGAACCCTAACAGAATAAATTCTGACACCCATGTGATGTTCTGGGGTTCCATGGGGCCCTCCCCTTGTGCCTAGAGAGAGATGACACCAAATAAAACATTGTGAGTTCAATCAGGATTTTTTTTTTGCTTGCTTGCTTTGGAGGATCAAGATTGGTTGGCCAAAGTGATTTCAAGGTATGACTTGACAGAACTTCCTGGGCGGATAAAGACTTTGCCTAATTCCTGCAGGCTTAGCTCCCTGGCCACATCTGGTCACAGCCATCAATAGGTAAGCTCCCCTGGACCGCAGTGTATTTGTGCGATGGTTTATTTCTCTTTTTTTATACAAGCATACGGCCTTGTGAAATCTAACTTTGACAAATCTGCTTGAATCTATTTGTAAATAAACAAGTCATTGCATACCTGGGACCGCAGGCCCAGTCACCTATGAGCATAAATCATGAGAGGGTACAGAGACTAAGGACTTTAGGTAAACAGAGGCTGCATGGCAGGAATTTGTGGGCGGGGTATGCAGACTTGAGGTGTGTGCACTAAGAAAGTGTGATGCACACCGACACACACACACGTGGAGGAAGAGGCAAGCAGATGATGTTGGATAACAAGTGGGCATGATTCACGATTCACGCTGCTTATATTTTCCTACTTCTGTGGGTCTCTAACGGCGTGTGTGTTTCTGCTGCTGAGTAACTTAAGCTCAGGACAAAGGAATTTCCCGAAAACTCTCACACTATGTATTCAAATTTTATGCAAATACTCTGTAGACACATCATGCTAGGCAATCTTTGTGACATTTTCAAATTTAAGTACGGTGACTGATGAGATGACTCAGCAGTTCAAAGCACTTCCTGCTCATTCAAAGGACCCAAGTTTAATTTCCAGTCCCCATGTAGAGTGGCTCACGACTTCCTGTAGGGCCAGGGGATTTGATGCCCTTTTCTGGCCTCTTTAGACGCTGCATTTACACAGATGTAATTGCAAGTAAGATTTCAGTATGGTGAATAGGGACTGGTAGGAAATTCAAGACAGAGCTCTCCAAAAGATTATCTACATCAATGGGCAGTAGCGGTATGCACCTTTAATCCCAGCACTCGGGAGGCAGAGCTGGACGGATTGCTGAGTTCAAGACCAGCTTGGTCTATAGAGAAAGTTCCAGGACAGCCAGGGCTACACAGAGAAATCCTGTCTCAAACAAACAAACAAAAAATTATCTACATCTAAGAGGCAAAACAAGCCCCTAAATATTATCGTGTTAATCATCATGTGACATCCTTATTTATCTTCAAGTATTTGTGTAAAAGAGATGCTCCAGGAAGATGCAGTCTGTTTACCTTGTGACTTTCCTGTCCCCTGGAGGGAGGCAGATCTCTGTGAGTTCAAGGCTAATGAGTTCCAAGACAGCCAGAGTCACATAGTGAGGAGACCCTGTCTTGAAGAAGAGGAGGGGGGGGGGAAGGTGGGAGGGGGAAAAAGGAGGGAGGGAAAGAGGAAGGAAGCAAGAAGGAAGAAAGGACCCCTGGCAACTGGAAGGCCCTACGTGCTCATCAGTGGAAAGGAAGTAATGTGGTGAGATAGGATTAGAAAGCAGCATGCCGGGTAGGAAGCTATGAGACAGGCAGGAGCTGGGCAGAAGCTTCCAGAGGCATTGTGGGGGCTGCCCCAGCAGAGGGCAGGACACTTTTATCTTCGGCTTCTCCCTGTGGTGTAACTCTCTTGCTTGATGGCAGACACGGAAAATGACAGTACAGCCCTTTTTTTTTTTAATCAGTCAGAGTTGCAGGCTGATGTCTCCACGGAGGAATCTTAGTCTTGACCTTGCCTTAAAATGCTCTGTGAAATGGGAGAAGAGGCCAAGCCTGGTCATATGAGCCTGTAGCTCCAGCTGCTCAGGAGACTTAGTCAGGAGGATTGCAAGTTCAAGATCAGCCTGGGTATCAAGCAAACTAAAGGCCATCCTGAGCAACTTGGTGGAATCCTGATTTAAATGAGAGTAAGATGCTGGGAATAGCTCAGTAGCTGGATGCTTACCTCACATGCACAGGGACCTTGTCTGGTACCTGACTGCCCCCAAGAAAAGGATTGAGAGATTTAACTTTTGTCTTTTAAAAATTCAACTCTTGTCTTTTAAAAAATATTCAGAGCTAATTATTACCTATGGAAAAATACTTAAGATTTACCTATAATTCACCAACCACTCAAGAAATTATAAATAAAATATAAGAAGAAATTCATTTCTTGGATTATCACATTGGCAAGATAAGTTGTAAAGACTGGACTCCTCAACACTGAGAGAGACTTGAGGGAGGCAGAAATCACTGTGCCTAACAATTCTGAAGACAACTTGAAATATATATTACATACTTTTTTATATTCTTGCCTATTTGTTAGAACAATAAAATCTTATTCTTAGACTGTATATTTAAGTATATTCCACATAGAATTCTTATAATATCAATAAACCAGAAGCAATGTAAACACGCAAGTACAACATACTATCTAAATAAAACGTGACACCTCCACGTGATGAAATTCTAACTGCAATAAGAACGCATTCTAAAATGACATTTGGGGGCTGGAGAGTTGGATGGCTCAGTGGTTAAGGGCACTGACCGCCTGTCCAGAGGACCCAGGTTCAATTCCAGGCACCCACATGGCAGCTCACAACTGTCGGTAACTCCAAGATCTGACACCCTCATGCAGACATATGTGCAGGTAAAACACCAAAGCACATAAAATAAAAATAATAGTAATAAATTAATGGGCTGGTGAGATGGCTCAGAGGTTAAGAGCACTAGCTGCTGCTCTTCCAGAGGTCCTGAGTTCAATTCCCAGCAACCACATGGTGGCTCACAACCATCTGTACTGAGATCTAGTGCCCTCCTCTGGCATGTGGGCAAACATCGAGGCAGAATGTTGTATACATAAGAAATAAATAAATCTTTAAAAAATTAATTCATTAATTAATAAAATGACATTTGGTTATATTGATTTTATTATATATATTATTTTAAAGAGATAATTACAAAATATTTTTAGCATTTGGAGTTGTTTTTGAGATGGGCTCTCACTCTGAAGCTCTGGCCTGAGTATAAATCAGGCTAGCCTCAAACTTAGGGTGATCTTCTTGGCCCCTGAGTGCTTGGTTTGCAAGCAATGGCCCCCACACTTTGCTGACATTTTGTTACAACGTTAGAAAGGCAGGGGAAAGGATGAAAATAAAAATATCAAATGCTAACAGTAGAAGTAGGTTTACATCTGTGAAGGAACTGACTGCATTTTTCTCCTTCACAATTTTTCTCTTTCCTCATAGTTTAGAAATGGTCACAAGATTTCCACTTAGAAAAAGAAATATTGCAATAAGAAAATAAAGCCTTCCAGGTGAAGTTCAACACCATCCCTGTCTGCTGAGCCCTGTCCTCGTAAAGATGGCCTAAGGGACAGGAACTTCAGAACACCAACAGGAAAGGTGGAGGAGAAAGGGAGGGAGAGGAGGGGAGAAAAGGGGAAAGGAAGGGGGAAGGAGAAGTGTGTGTGTGTGTGTGTGTGTGTGTGTGTGTGTGTGTGTGTATGTAAGAGAACCAACCTCCTCCTGCAAGCTCTGTGAAAAGAAAATGGAAAACAGCAAGCCCCCATTGCACAACAATCCCCCCCTTCTTGTGACAGGCTGTCATTCGCACTCCCCAAGGTCACCTTAATGGTTGCAGCCAGCCAGCAACCAAGTGTCCTTTCTCCTAGAAGCTGGGCTCCAAGAGACCCTACCTGCCTGGTCAGTCTGTGGTCACTCACTCCTTCACTTCACACCGACCTTTCTTTCTGGCTGTCTGGTCTCCCAATCCCACCCTCAGCCAGGCTTCTTCCCCCTCCACTCCACACATCTTGTCATCAAAGCAGAGGAGCCCTTCCTTGGAATCACTGGCCGGTCATTGCTCCTACCTGACTCACTGCTCCTGGCTCCCAGGAGGGTTCCTGCCTCCAAATTGTGCTCCATTTTAATCAACACTGTGGTGTATATAGTATGTTGTCAACTTCTCAAGAGATACCTTCCCCCATCTAATTCAAAATGTTTTTAAAAGAATTTCAAGTCTTTCAAAATTTCAAAAGAATTCCAATTATTGTCTACAGGGAAGAAGTGACATTTAGGTAGAGTTCCAGGGGTGTCCTCATATCTATTCTAGAGAGCAGTCCATCTTTCTAGAACAATCTGCCACTTAGAAGCAATTACAGTCATTTATTGTCATGATAATACTCACCAGTATTTATTTCCTGGGTGTGTCCTGTGCGCTAAACACTGTGGTAAACAGTTCAGACACGTTCTCTTATGTAATGTTTATAAAGTATAGGAAAGACAATGACTTTTCTCTATGCGTAAGTAACCTGAGGCTTACTGAGGGTAAATAACCACCCGGATCTCACCAAGAAGGACCAGCAGAGCCTGGTCTGATTGGCCCCAGAATCTACACTCAGAGCTACCATTCTCTTCGCCCTTGCTTTCCTCTAAAAAGCCTCAGTGTCAAACAAACTGAGCCCTCCAAGATCCCTCAGATGATAGACAGGGTGGCATGTGGACACTATTTGGTCCTGCTCAGCCATCTGAACCCCACCCTTCTCTGAAGGTACAGAAGTCACTAGGTCGTCTAGAACATTGTCATGTGTCAGTATGTCTCTGACACCTCACAGGTGATACTCTCATCATGAGGTCAATATGCCAGCTACTACATGGTGCCCAGTGCACACACCCTCTCCCATAAATGGCTCCCAGGAGAGAGAATACCTGTTCTGTGGTGACTAGAGCATTGAAATGGACTGAACCCCTGGCAGCTGAGGAATGGGGGAATAGCTCTGGGTGAAGGAACCTGGAAAGGCATGCAAGGGTCCTGATATTTGGGGGAAGCACAAGCCTTGCCTTTGTAATGTCAGCATTCCTCCCACAAACCCCTAAGAGTCTTTGCAAGTGCTTCCTCTACCTATAGGAACAAGAGAGTGGGCTTGGAGGGGCTGCAGATAGGGAGAGACATGGATGGAAACGGGTGGGTAAAGCCAAGGACTCCCAAGGA